TGAACACTTCCTTAGATTGGACGCTTACTGTGTAGGAAGTGCTCAACCGAGGAGTTGCACACTTGCAAGTGCACACCTACCGAGTTGCACACTTACAAGTATTAAACTTGCAGTTGCACACTTGCAAGTATTTAACTTGCAGTTGCACACTTTGAAGTGTCGAGCAGTTGAACACTTAGTTAATCAGTGAACTTTTTGTCCTCTTTCGTACAGTGTTAGCGTCATTGCGATTGGACCAACCCACCCCCTTTCACACTCACCCCCACCTCCTCAAGGAAGTGAGTTTTGTGGTTCGTGAAAACCAGCGGTATATCCTATGAGGACGTCCCCTGTATTTTTTTTTTTTTTTCGAGTCGTACCTCCTTCTCTTTTGCCAGTTTGGCAACAAGGTATGTTTAACTTGGGGGTGGCTTTTGAAAGTTTCGACAGTTAATTCTTCGACTCTGGGAGCGAAAATAGTTAGTCCGGCTGACACGAAACTTGGAGGAAAGCTTCCTTGGGGTGTTGTTCAACAGACACGCATGGCCCCTATCCTTCGTTTCCTTACCAAAGAGGTACAGGGGCACTCTGGGGTAGCTACCGCCTCGGAAGGGGTTGAAGATGTTGACACTGGGTTTCTCAGCATGGTCGTGTTTAAGATGCAACAGGGAACCTTTCCTGAAAGTTTCAACCCAAAACTTCAACCCTTAGGGTCCAAAATGGTCATCTTTCTGGGTGTGAGTGCGGAAGGGGTGGGTTGGTCTGATCGCAATTTCGCTTACATCGTCCGAAAGAAGACAAAACAATCAGTTGGTTCTTGAAAAATCTTGACTTTCCGAGCACTTAAAGTTGCAATTTCGGAGTCGTCTCGGCCGATTTTTCAGCCCTCTCCATTCGAGGCGGTCTACAGCTCGCTCACTGCCCTGCGCTGCGCGGCCAGCCACGCGCGCCGAGTGGGTAGGCCATGTAGTGCAGCTGGGCCGAGCGGGTTGCCTATTGCGCTCCTCGCAGGCGGCAAGGCCGG